ATTTAGCTACAGGATCATCAAGGGTTTTTTTTCCCCTGATCCTCTCATTTGAATGTCATGGTCCTTCCTACTTGCCACTTACTTTTCCAGAGAGGCAAATGGGAGCAAAACACTTCAGAAAACATATAGCTGTTTATTGCTTAAGAGTTCATGACCGTAAGAGCTCAAGAAGTCCCACCCTTCACCAATGTGTGGAGTTTGCCAAAGTGCCAAAGTCTTTTCTGACCTGTCAACACCATTGTAGCCATGACAGATGTAAACTCAGACTATCATGTTCTCCCTGTACACAGACATTTGTGGGTTTAGATCTCATGGAAAGGAAAAATGCGGATTATCCAATTCTGGAACATGACTTGCTGTCATGCTCCTCATCTGTTTATTTTCAGGCCTTGCAGTACACATCATATTTTATCTTTGCTGCCATCTTTGTTCCTCCTAGGGTATCTTCAAATTTCCAATACATTTCTTCATTCTGAGCCTTAGAGAAGAGATCTTTCCAGCTCCCAACAACTCCTGTGTAAAACAGTACCAAAAGCTGAAGGAAGATGCTCCTGAGAGAATATAATACCTGCACAACAATGGGACAGAGTTACTGCCTACACAAGGCAGGATCCGATTTATTCCCCTGAGAAGTCTGATTGCCTGGGAGAGGCAATGTAGCAAAGATCAGAATCAAAGGCTGTAGCCAGACCACAGGGAGCACTGTTGGTGGGCTGCCTGCATGCCCGCCCTCCTCCTCCAGAGGGCTTCCATGGTGCCTTCATGAGTCTTTTACACAGAAGAGAGGAGAATCTGCTTTTGTCACCAGGGAAAGCTCATTCATGAATGGCTTCCTCTGAAGAGGGAAGTTTTTTGTGGTAGGTGGTAGAGAGGAGAGTGGCTAAATCCCTCTTCCTCCAAGGAGTCATGAAGGAAAGAGATTAAAGCAGGACCATATCCAGAGTATTCAGAAACCAAAGACTCCTGATGCCATGGGGAGCAGGTGGGCTGCCAGAGCTCTGACCCTGGCCCCAGGTCTGTAAGGGACCATCTCTGGGGTCACCACTGTCACATGCACTGAGAGGAGACAAATTAAGCTCTCACTGAGTAGGTATCAATAAGATGCCTATGAGGCCAGCAGAGCAATGAGTAATGCATTCCCTTGAGGTTCAAGAGATTCTTGTCCCATTAGCACACCTCTTCTCAAAGGGAACTTTCATGAAGTGGCACTTGTAGCCTCATCACCTGACCAACAGGCAAAGGCCACACCACAACCCCTCTGCACAGAGTAACGGTAGAGCCTAGGCAGATTTGGTGCAAAGTTGTTGGTATAACCTCACCAGTGTTGGCCCACACCTTCGCACCTCACTTGCCTAACTAACCAGGTCTGCTACACAAAAAAAGAGCAACATGGAAGCAATGACTGAGAACGCAAAGCCTGGCACTCTGGTAAACTTCTCACAAATAACCCCCAAATCCCATCACTGGCAGAAGCTTGCCCAGGATGCCACAAGAGAGAACTTAACTACACTAGTCCTTTGTATACAGTCTAATGATTTCATGACTAAGTGAGGAAACATATTCAAAATTCCTTCTAGAGTTTTACTTCAGAAGGTAGATTCACCATTTGCAGAGACTTACCCTTCCTGAAGAGGACATGCCCAAACTTTCCATGGGTTTCATTGGATTTCTCTTTCATAGCTTTGAAACTGGTTTTCTTGGCAATTATGGAAAAATCTTCCTCACAGAGGGAGAAGCCAAAGAAGGCAGCAATGTTTTTCATCTGCTGTACCTGGTTCTGCCCTAAGGCACATAGCACAGAGGTGAAATGAAAAGATTTGACAGTGTGGCTGTGGCATGGAGCCAGAACCCAGTGGGAAGTGCAGCAAACGAGGCTGTCTCCCACATATGTCACCAAGAGCTCTAACAGAGAGAAAACCCACACATACTGCCCTCAGGTTCAAGGTTTTTTCTCCTTTCCTCAAAGCAGCTGTGCCTCTGGCAGATATGACTCCTTTCAGAAACAGACAAGGGTATTCTCCTTCTAACCCCCATAGTCCTCCCCTAAACATAAAAGAGTAGCTCAGAAAGGCACACCCTTCCAAACAGGCTAAAAGGCTTGACTCAAGAGTTTCTACTTCCCCATGCCCATATATATCAGGAGGGTTGCATAGAACACTCATTAAGGAAGAGCTGGATGAAATGTCACACCTCTTTGAGTTCCTCATAGCTTATTGTCATGATCCTCTCATTATTGATGTGTTTGTTTCATTTCACTAGGTTGTCAAAGTAGGATCCCCAGGCCACTGAAAAAAAGAAAAGGTATAGCTGGGTAGACTACTCCCAAAATCCCAAAACAGGCCCTTAATCAAATCAGTCAGTCAGGACAGCTCTCTAAGCATGGCACTGGGATGGTGAAGTAGTGACCAGCTCAACATGTCCGTTCGTTCTCCTGAGGTCAGTGCAGAATGTCCCAGCTACGGCCACTTGGTAGCACCAAACCACAAGCTCTGTTGTCGGAATGGAAAAGTCAGGCTAAAGCTTTCTCATGATGTCTCTTCTGAGTTGAAGGCAAAACTCTGATTCTCTGGTACTCCCTGTTTCTGCTCTACCATGGGCCTGTCTGTCTCTTCTGGGAGTGCCTTGGCAAGGTATGTTAGAGGCGGATCCCCATGCACAGGTCTCTGTGTATGCCCCTCAGGTAAGGAGCAGTGCCAGAGGACGCAGGGCAAAGTACATTTCCCAGTCATGAAGTCTGCAAAGAACTCATCCCAGGGGTCAAAGGACAGCAGCACTGGCACGTTGTTGCAGACCTGGTAACAGGAGACTGCCATGTCCTTGGAGTTCTGAACTAGCACAAGGATCTAGAGGAAGAAAACACATAATGTGGTTAGGATTTGATGGCTGACCAAAATACCATCTTCTCAACACATCACAGAGTATCACAGAATCATTTAGGTTGGAAAAGACCTGTCAGATCATTGAGTCCAACCATTAACTAAGCCCTGCCAAGTCCACCACTAAACCATGTCCCTAAGCACCACATCTACACATCACTTACATACCTCCAGGGATGGTGACTCAACCACTTCCCCGGCAGCCAGTTCCAATGCTCAACAACCTTCCATCAATAATTTTTGCTAATATCCAGTCTAAACCTCCCCTGGTGCAGCTTGAGGCCGCTTCCTTTTCTCCTGTCACCTCTTACTTGTGAGAAGAGACCAACCCGCACCTGACCGCAACCTCCTTTCAGGCAGTTGTAGAGAGCAATAAGGTCTCCCTGAACCTCCTTTTCTCCAGGATAAAGAAACCCAGCTCCCTCAGCTGCTCCTCATAAGACTTGTGCTCCAGACCCTTCACCACCTCTGTTGCCTTCTTTGGACACATTCCAGCACCTCAAGATCCTTCTTACAGGATAGTGAGAGGCCCAGAACTGAACAAAGTGTTCAAGGTGCAGCCTCACCAGTGCCAAATACAGAGGGACAATCACTTCCCTTGTCCTGCTGGCCACACTATTTTTGATAAAATCCATAATTTAATCTTTGGGTGAAATTGTTCCTTATGTGGCTGTTATTTGTATTGTAGCTAATATATTTTTAGAAGATAAATAGTGTTGAGGTAGAGAAACAGATATCTCTACAGATCATCCAAACACACAGACAATACAGAATGGCTTAATTGCCCTGTGGAGGGCCTTTCACTCTTTCTGCATGCTCTTGAAAATACTATGAGTCCTGTTCACTGTCCATATATCAAACCCCTGCATTACATCCTTGTCTCTTCCATCATAAGTGGTTGTTAGACACTTACTTAGTAAATCCATACACAAGTTTAATAAAGCATGAGGAGTTGTTTAGTGATATATAGAACAATCTGTCATGGATAGAAATGCTGGTATCAGAAGCATTTGCAGTACAACATAAAGAGAAAATTCACCTTAGCCAAAGATTTACCTTGGCCTTGTTTTGAAAAATCATTTGGGGAAAAGACATGAGGTAAGAAATAGGTTAATATAATTTTTCTGGTTTCTTCATCCCCTTGAAGCAAACAGACAAAAATACAATGTAAGCATCCTCTTCAATGGAAATATACCATTTCAGGAATCATAAGTAACAAAAAATATTAGATCAGAAGGAAAAAAAATTTTTTTTTTCTTTATGATTGGTGAGGATCTAGTAGTAATAATGTTTGAAAGTCACTGCTATTGTGTTATTCCATTATGTCTTACCTTGAAAAGAGATTCCCACATTCTTCTGAATTGATTCTCACACTCACTGACTTCACCTCTGCTTATGTTTCACTCCCTCATCATGTTAGTAATCCATCGACTTTCCTAGCCTACATTACTTTTCTGACACAGCAGCTTGCCCTGTCTATCCTCCCCTCCCCCACCTCCTTCCTCCAGTGAATGCAAGGGCCCACAGTGTGTCTTTAGTGGAGCAAAAGTACGTGAGGTGTTACTGCTTGAATAGCTTGGTCCTTCAGAGTGACATTGTAAGGGCACAGAGGGACTGAACCCAAGCCTTGGCATGACACAGGAGAGAATAAACTGCAGAAATAGGTCATGGTCTGGTTTTCCATCAGATCAACAAGGACATGATTACCTCTTATTATAGTTTAGGTGTTCTCCAACTAATTTTAATCTAGTTCAATAGAGTAATGGTGATTCTCATTCCTTTCTTTCTCCTCCCTCTAGCTCTGATCCAGTTTGTGCTGAAGCCATGGAAGACATCCTTTGGCATTACATTTGTGTTAGATCCATATTTTTGCGAGTGATCTTTTCTACAAAGATGTTTTTTAATTTGAAATATTTTTGAAGAAAAATAATCTGCATAGAAAATAATTATAAAATAGTCTAGAAAGATGGGGTTTGGTTAGAAAGAAAAGGAGCATTTCCTTCCAGTTGACAGCTACTGGAACAGCACTGTTGAATTTTCGTGAATGTGATTCATTGACATGCTTTTCAGCAAATGGCTGTAGCCAAAGCCAGCCTAAGATCTCGCCAGAAGAAAGAGCTATCATTGTCACTATAAAGGCCATTGAAATATCTTTATTAAAGTAATTCTAAGATGCTTTAATAATTGATTAAATTTTCTAGTATAGAGCATTCAGGTTATCAGAGTGTGCCTAGAGAAGTTCTTGTTCTAACCACATTTTATTTCTCTTCAGGCTTTACAGTACACTTCATACTTTAACTTTTTTCCCAGCTTAGTTCCTCCTACATATTCTTCAAATGCTTTGTCCATTTTCTCATTCTGATCTTCACTGAAAAGATTCTTCCAGTCACTTACATCCCCTGCAGAGAGGAAAAGAAACTCAAAAATCAAGAAAAATGTTTCTATACATCTGTCATTCTTATTCCATTGTGTCCTAAATATTGCTGATCTATTTTCCCAGATAAAACTTTACTCATTTCTGCACCAAGATAATTTTGTGAAGTCAATGGAGCTACATATCAGTGCAACTGCTACAATGTAAAAGAACATACTCCTCTTCAGGTGACTGTGTTCAAAAAGACAGCCTAAAGTCCGGTTCCCTACAGTTCTCTGATTTAGTGAGTTTTATGACTGATAAAGGGAAAGACCATGAAGAATTGATTAAGAATTATCTCGCAGGAGGCAGAGCTGCATTTCTGCTCCTTTGGCAGTAAGAGTTTTTATCTACAGACTTCTTTAACGTAAAATGCATCAATAGATTGACAGCCAGGGTAGCCTTCCCATTTCTGTGTTCCCTACACTAGGCTGCAAAAGTAGCTCCCTTTTGTTGCCCCTCCCTTGTGTACCTGATTCTTGCATGCTTGACTTACTCCTAACCCGTAAGACTGAACAGGGGTTTGGCAGTGGCTCTCCTAAAAAGTGTGATCGTGCCACTCAGGTTGAGTTTGGCCCCGTGCTGCCTGCTCGGATAAGCCTCTGATGGCTAAACAATCAGTGATGTAGGCACAGAGGAGAAGAGGAGTTCAGGCACAGGACACTTCCTCCTTCCTGACAGACATCTGTGGGCCTATAAAATTTGCTCTGGTGCCAGTGCCTTGCTGGGCATCTTCCTCACCAGTGCTCCTTGAATAGCTTTCTCAAGTGAAATAGTGATAACCTGCTTGATATGAACTTGCAATGCTAATATGTGTGCGAAAACAAGAAGCAAAGCACAGTCCAAGTTCTTGAGAAGGTGACATTTCTACCTCTGAACCACTTGCAGCTTCCTACCTTTGCGAAAGAAAATGTCACCGAACGCCCCATGGGTCTTCTGAGAGTTCTTCTTCATTGCCTGAAAGCTGCTCCTCTCTACCACAAGCTGAAGCTCTTCCTCAGTCAGTGAAATCCCTAAGAAAGCAGCTATCTTTTGCACTCCCAGGACACGATTCTGGAAAGAGGAATGTAACACATCACGTGACATTCAACCAAATTACACTGCTTTGCATGGTGGTTACAATTCTAAACATCTCTCTGCTCGATACATGTATGGGATATTCACAGATCTCAGGAGCACTAGAGGAACACATAGTGTTTCTCTTCTCCATAATTATTTTGGAGGAGATATGAGCTGTTTCCCTATAGATTACAAAAGACTGTGCATGATTTACAGCTGAACAAAAGCTATACTTTTGAACATAAAAAAAGCTCCTCCCAAAAAATTTTTGGGGATATTGATTTACAAGTATTTTGGGCTTATATTACAGCACATAAAAAACAGTAATAATTTGCTCAAGCAAAATTTTAAAAGGTTTTTGAGTTTGCATTTCACCTTTTCTTTACGTAAAACAAGAATCTATCCAATGCAGTTTGAATACCCTACATGAATATAATGATGAATTGGTTTAGGAAAACATGTTTCTACACATAAAAATATTTGTAATTATTGATAATCTCACCTCTTTTAGCTCTTCATAAGTTATTGTCATAACATTTTCTTCATCAGCATATTTGTTCCATTTGGAAAGGTATTCAAAGTAGCATCCCCAGACCACTAAATAAAACAAAACAATCCTAAGATGTGTCATAAATGAACATTAGACAAACTCCTTACACAACAAACTAAATTTTACTCATTCCATTGATCTCTCAGCCATGGGCACTAGTAATCATCTCTATGGCAGAGTTACACCCTTCTGGGGAAGTTTTAGGGTTTGCTCCAGGCTGTTCTGGCATAGGTACAAGTCTCAGGGATATGATACAATTTGGAAGTTGGAACAGTAAAACTTGTTAGTATCTCAAGGCAGATGGAAGTCCAACAAAGAGCTATCAGTACTCAAACCATCTTGCAGACTCCCTCAATCCACTTTAAAACCTTCCGCATAACCCTCCCTCCAATGTTAGGCTGGCTGTGTGCTATGCTAAACTGATGCCATTTTAAACCAGTGTAATTTTTTTCTCTCCTTTTTAATGCAATAGACTTAGTCCAAATAACTCCTTCCATCCAATTTGGCATATAGGTCTTTATATGTCTGCATGGACACAAGATGATGGACCTTGGAGAGGAGGGGTGAAGGGGATCCAGGACAGAGATAAGGAAGAACTACTTCTTCCAGAAAAAATATCAGTTTGTACAAGGTAAAGCAGCTTGTGGAACTGCAGCTTTGACAGGGACTCACCCTCAAGCAGTAAGACAAGTATAGTAAACTTTAGTGCAAATACCTAACTTTCGGTCTTTAATCTGTGCTTTTGTACTGTAAACCAAAAAATCCTAATGATGCTGATTTAATGAAGTACAAGCTTTTTGAGACAAAGCACTGAATAATTGACACAGACAGAATAATATACTGTACTTCTCTTTGACATGAAATCTGTGAAGAAATCATCCCAGGTCTCATAGGAAGGAAAACTAGCCAGGCCATTGGAAAAATGGTAATAAGATGTAGCTACATCCTTTGGGTTACGAATCAATAACAATATCTAGGAAAAAAAAATTATTTGTAATTTATTTTCAAAAATTGAAACATATAACAGATTAGAGTATGAAGACAATACAATAATATACTTTATAACTGCAGTTGGGGAATTTCTAATATCTTGAATGCTACTTGCAGACATAGCAATTTCATTCCAAATTCAGAAGGGAAGTATTTACTTTGCTTTGGCACCATGTGAAGAGGATTGCCTATAATTATTAAAGTATCTTATACAGAGTAACCACATTAATTATGCAGAATATAACTGAGTTTTGCTCAATACAAGCATAATTCGTCATTTAGGTAACAGGGAAAAATCACAAAAATATAATTTCTCTCTGAAACTTGACACGCTGAAGCCCTCACTTGTGACAACACCACAAAATGTCTCTAATAGGAAATTGTGTCAAAAGGCATTTTGCCTCTGGAGGATTTGTTCAAGCCCTGCAACTCCCTTATGGAGACTGTCACAAAGGTACCAAGAAGGATGAATGGAGGTTAAGTGAGCACGAATGATAGAACTTAAACAGGCATGTAGAAATGGCCAGGCTAAACACTCAAGTATAAGAGTGATTCTGAAAACTGGCTGAAAAGACATTAAAATCAGCACTCACCTTGACTTTATTTTTGAAGATAGACTTGGGAAGGTTTTCAGGACGGAGATGAGTAACAATAACTCTTGGAGAAGGCAATTTGGTCATTCGCTTTACAAATTGGAAGTAGGAGAGTGGACAGTTCAGTCAGTACAAGTTTTCTTTTCATCAGGCTATTCTAAAATGTTGCCTTGCTAAACTTATCAACACATACTGGCTGACTTAAGTTCTTTTTTGTGTGTATGTGTTACCCTGGGATATTAGTGGGCTGCTGTGAGTAGCTCTAACCTTCAAAAACCCCTGAGAATGAGTGACTACAGAAAGACCATCCATCGTTAATTCTCTTCAGTCATAATGAATTTAACATCGACTGTTAGACAAGAGATCAAATCTAAAGGTAAGATACAGACTCCAGCTGGGTATTTGTGAAAGCTGAAGCATTTCAAGCACTGAAAGAAGGGGTGAGGAGGAAGAGCTAGTAAAAGAGACAAAAGCTAATATTTCATTCTTTGATATTTCTTGAAGCTCTTCTTAAATACAAAAGATGCTATGCAGAATTTCTGCAGTTCTTGTGTATCTAAGGGGTAAGTGCTCCTGTCACACTCATTGAAGTGCTCATTTATCCCTCACCATTCGACAATCCAGACAAGATTCATCCGGACCAGATGCCACATACAGAAAAGTGGGAGACTTCTTTACAAACAGTAGAATATTTCACACCCCATATAATCAGTATTTGGAGCACATATTTTAATAATTTTCATACATATTCTGTTCCCACCTCATATTTCTCGGCATCTCCAACTTCAAGGTAGGGGAATTCTTCTAGTTCTTCATCATTCGCACTGCTTTCTCTATCCTGTGTTTTCTTTTGAGATACGGTTACCAGGTCAGTTAAGATTTGACTGAGCCAGTTTGTGCCTGAAGGATGAAAAATACAGAATTTCTTGTAAAACTTCTGGAATAAACAGAATGGATTTTCCAGGAAAGCCTGGAGGAAGGTAGTACTACTGAGTTGAGTTATCTGGTCTCCTTTCATGTGATACAATCACAGCTGACTCTCTGGACAATCACCTGTCGGGGTCCTACCTTTGGTCCTCATAAGGATACATTCCTCCAGCTAGAAACGATCAGCACATCCTAAATCTACTTGTATATTGAAAATTAACTTGTGTATTGTGAACTAAGTAATCAAGGAGAAGAACCACTCAGATTCAACTAGGAAAACCTTCATTCATGTAATCAATATGATTGTGACAAATATAAGGGCGAATGGGGTGGTAAATCTGTACCATAAAACCTAAAATATTATATTTTTTGGATGGGATGCCCAGTGTTGACTTAGGAGGAAAGATAGGTCACAGAACTTCAACACAGTAGCAGAGCTAGCTCTGAAAACTGGGCTGTATGTACTCATTTTCTTTACCAACAGGAAAAAATTCTCAAAAGTGATATTTCCTATACACTTTTATTATAATTTTACTCAAAACATACCAAAGAGTCTGTAGCCTACTCCCATCTTTAGTCTACCATTTCCTGACTTCTGGATACTGAGTTCCTACACCTTTCTCACTACAGTTTTAACAACTGTTAAAACCAGCGGCAGTCTGGTGCAAGCATTTCTTCAAAAAGAAAACACCATAAAAGAACAAAAACTTTGCAATCTTGTCAAATCTAAGTGCAAACACAACTGATGGAGGAGAGAAACTACTAGATTAAAATGAATATGAGACACATCGAACCCAAACCTTTGGTCCCTCTGATTAGAGGCACCACAGGGTGCTCTCAGGCAGAAGGAGCAAAGGAGCAAAGGTTGTAAACTTACACTCCTAGCAAAGATCTCCTCCTGATTTCCTACTAAGTACTGAACAATGTGATCGCTTCAAGAGTTAGATTGATAGTTATTTCCTGACAGAAAATGCAGCATGGAATGGGAAGGTATGGAAAGCTCAATTCTGGGTAAAAATGTAAAGCTGTTAACTTTACAAAGATAAATGTGACAGCAGATCCTGTAACACCAAGAGATCTCATTATGTCTAATGTAAAACACTGTATTTTAGTTCTCTCCAATTCATGCATTTAACTTCATAACTATGAAAAGTAAAGATAACAAAAAACTTTGCATCTCATAGAAAAGAAATCAGATGGGTTTTCTCAGTCTTTTGGAAAATTCCTTACATAAAATCCTCATAATTCACTTTGTTGTGCTTTTTGAGAACAAAATCTCGTTTCACAAAATTTTGTGAACATTCTAAATACTGTTATTTAATATATTATATAACATACCATACACATTGCATATATTTAGTACAAATCCACTTCTTTGCAATTAGATAATCTTATTTATGAAAAAAGCAAAATATATTCACCAGATTTAGGGTATGCTGCCAAAATGATATCATCACTTCTGGCTTCAAAGGACTCCAAAGCTCTGAATGTTTCAGGACTACAAACAGTGACAGGGTAGGGAGTTCCATTGTAAGAAAACAGCAGTTCATCACGACGCATTGTACTGGCTTCCGCTTCTGCCTTATCTACAAGATCAGCAATTTTTTTCCCGGACTTCTCCATTCTACTTCTCTCTCTCACACGCACAGGCTCTGACACAGTGTGAAAGGCTATGTAGAAAAAGAACCTCACATGTTGCCTTTTTATATATGCTGGGTGTGTTGGTGGTTTTATTGACCTTATGATAATAATTTACTACTCTTTCTGAAATCTTAAGACTCCAAAGAGTAATTTGAAACTTTTGAAATCAGTAAAAGTTGAACATAAACAAGATATGCAACCAAATGCAATTGCTTTCTAGGAATAAGGACTTATGTAATTTCAAAATATCATGCCTGTCACTTGAAAAGGGTAGATTAGAAGAATTTTCTCTCCATCCTGTATTAATTTTTCTTTTTTGGCTATCAATGTCCCACAGGAGATCAAACCCTTTTAATGTCCAAAACAGTCTGTTAGTGTCTCACCTAATGAGACTCTTCTCTTAAGAGAAACCCCATACAAACAGGACATTTGATACCTTTTACATAGGGACTGCATTTAACAGTGGTAGAAAAATCCCTCAACAGCTTTCTCCTATGAGTTATTTCACCATTGATGAAACTGGTAGCACCTGAAAACAGACTCACTCTAACACTTCATGAAATAGCACGCTTATTAATACAAATTTGTGGGTTTCGCTATGCCTGGAATAGGGTCTAACTTCAGAAAAAGCACACTTATAGCAGGTAGTAATAATAATAACACAAAGCATAGGCACACATGCTAAAGCCAAGGCAACTTACAATGAAGTAATAAGTAAAAATTTTAAAGCACTATGGAACAAAAGTAAAATTAGTGTATATGTATACATCATGTAAAAATAAGCAGAAATGCAAAGATTTCTTGTCCCACCTGAATTAATATAGGTTTTTTGGCTCTCAGTGTCCCCAGTATATCAAAGCTTTTTAAATCCCAAAACTGTCTGTCCACACCTCACCTAAAGAGATCCTTCCCTAGGAAGATTCACTGTGAGGGACAGGACTTCTCATACCCTGACATGGGGACAGCACTAAATAGCAAGGGAGAACCTTCTCAGCAAAGTTCTCTTACAAATTACAAGGCTGCCAGTGCCAAAACAAAACCAGGACTAGCTCTAGCAGCTCACAAAATAACTCATATTAATACAAGTATGTGACAAATTACTGTAGGGTTTGTGTCGCCTATGAGCATGTTTAACTGCATGACTGCACTTAACTAATAAAAAAACCCCAAAACCAGAAGCACGTTCTACAAAACAAGACAACTACCTAAGCCTTAATACAAAACTCAAGCAACCCCCCTCCATGACACACCGATTTACGAAGACTAGAACAAAATCTAAACACACTCGTTAACACAAAGCAAAAAAGAAAGAACTAACACACATTTTAACTCACTAAGATAAGCAAATGCACACCTCAAAGCAAACCACAAACAACGAGTCAGCAATAAGGTACAGTATAGGACAACAACAAAAAAAATCTATAAATAAGATATATACCTGCTAAGTTACAAGGTGTAGAGCAAGGTAAAATTAGTATCTTATAAAGCAAAGTAGGAAAGTGCAATTGGGAAATAAGGTGTCTAGGGTTAAAAGTGAAAGATGGTAATCTATAAATTATAAGGCAAGGTCAAGTAAAGAAAGCAGAGTAAATGGTTGCTTAACCCCCACAATGTCTGAAGGAGTGGAAGGAGACAGGGCAGCTCGTTAGTTGCTGCCTGCAGAGATGATGGAACTTCTCTCTAATTGTACTCATGTCCAATCTCTTTTTATACTTTTTTTCTTAGGCATTTTGACTGACCATAGTCAGTAAACTAATTCTGGGGGTGATAGACAGATGACATAGGCCTAATGGTGGGCTCCCTGTGTTCTCACGGGATGTTGCAAAGAAAGGCCATGCACTCCATCCTTCGGTAATCTTATCAGTCTGTTGCTGGCAAGTCTCCCCATTTTCTTGAGGACTTGTGGGAAGCCATCAGTGTCTCTCTGTCCCTTTTTGTGTAACCCACTGGCATCTGGCAATGGGTTTCTGGGAATGCTCCGTCCAGGTGCTGAAGTGTTTTCCGTAACAGATCAGGACGGTCATCATGGCCTTGAATTGGTCTGTCGCCCTACAGCAGTGACCAGCTCAACATGTCCATTCGTTCTCCTGAGGTCAGTGCAGAATGTCCCAGCTACGGCCACTTGGTAGCACCAAACCACAAGCTCTGTTGTCGGAATGGAAAAGTCAGGCTAAAGCTTTCTCATGATGTCTCTTCTGAGTTGAAGGCAAAACTCTGATTCTCTGGTACTCCCTGTTTCTGCTCTACCATGGGCCTGTCTGTCTCTTCTGGGAGTGCCTTGGCAAGGTAAGTTAGAGTGGGATTCCCATGCACAGGTCTCTGTGTATGCCCTCATGTAAGGAGCAGTGCCGGAGGACGCAGGGCAATGTACATTTCCCAGTCATGAAGTCTGCAAAGAACTCATCCCAGGGGTCAAAGGACAGCAGCACTGGCACGTTGTTGCACACCTGGTAACAGGAGACTGCCATGTCCTTGGAGTTCCGAACTAGCACAAGGATCTAGAGGAAGAAAACACATAATGTGGTTAGGATTTGATGGCTGACCAAAATACCATCTTCTCAACACATCACAGAGTATCACAGAATCATTTAGGTTGGAAAAGACCTCTCAGATCATTGAGTCCAACCATTAACTAAGCCCTGCCAAGTCCACCACTAAACCATGTCCCTAAGCACCACATCTACACATCACTTACATACCTCCAGGGATGGTGACTCAGCCACTTCCCCGGCAGCCAGTTCCAATGCTCAACAACCTTCCATCAATATTTTTTTTCTAATATCCAATCTAAACCTCCCCTGGTGCAGCTTGAGGCCACTTCCTTTTCTCCTGTCACCTCTTACTTGTGAGAAGAGACCAACCCGCACCTGACTGCAACCTCCTTTCAGGCAGTTGTAGAGAGCAATAAGGTCTCCCCTGAACCTCCTTTTCTCCAGGATAAAGAAACCCAGCTCCCTCAGCTGCTCCTCATAAGATTTGTGCTCCAGACCCTTCACCACCTCTGTTGCCTTCTTTGGACACACTCCAGCACCTCAAGATCCTTCTTACAGGATAGTGAGAGGCCCAGAACTGAACACAGTGTTCAAGGTGCAGCTTCATCAGTGCCAAATACAGAGGGACAATCACTTCCCTTGTCCTGTTGGCCACATGATTTCCGATAAAATCCATAATTTAATCTTTGGGTGAAATTGTTCCTTATGTGGCTGTTTTTTGTATTGTAGCCAATATCTTTTTAGAAGATAAATAGTGTTGAGGTAGAGAAACAGATATCTCTACAGATCATCCAAACACACAGACAATACAGAATGGCTTAATTGCCCTGTGGAGGGCCTTTCACTCTTTTTTCATGCTCTTGAATATACTATGAGTCCTGTTCACTGTACCTATATCAAACCCTTGCATTACATCCTTGTCTCTTTCATCATAAATGGTTGTTAGACACTTAGTAAATCCATACACAAGTTTAATAAAGCATGAGGAGGTGTCAAATCAAAAGCATAACTTCAAGACTTGGAAGATCAGTAAAAGTTACCTACAAAGAATACTTTAAAATCATTTTTCTTCCAAAATGCAGAACTACCAAAATAGACCATTTTTTTGGAAATATTTTCTTTAGCAGTGCCGTCCAGCAGCCAGGGCTTCAGGGTAAGCAGGTGAATGACTCATAGGCCACAGCTCTTATGGTCCCCAGGTAGAATGCTGAGTTGTTCAATGATCTACAGGACAATCTGCCTTGGATAGAAATGCTGGAAATAGAAGCATTTGCAGTACAACATAAAGAGAAAATTCACCTTAGCCAAAGATTTACCTTGGATTTATTTTGAAAAATCATTTGGGGAAAAGACATGAGGTAGGAAATGGGTTAATAAAATTTTTCTGGTGTCTTCATCCCCTTAAAGCAAACAGAAATACAATGTAAGCATCCTCTTCAATGGAAATATACCTTTTCAGGAATCATAAGTAACAAATAAGGTTAGTCCAAAAAGAAAGATAATTTTGTTTTGTTGGTTTTTTCTTTTTAGGATTGGTGAGGATCTAGTAGTAATAATGTTTGAAAGCCGTTGCTATTGTGTTAGACAATTATGTCTTACCTTGAAAAGAGACTCCCACATTTTTCTGAATTGATTCTCACACTCACTGACTTCACCTCTGCTTACGTTTCACTCCCTCATCATGTTAGTAATCCATTGACTTTCCTAGCCTACATTACTTTTCTGACACAGCAGCTTGCCCTGTCTATCCTCCCCTCCCCCACGTCCTTCCTCCATTGAATGCAAGGGCCCACAGTGTGTCTTTAGTGGAGCAAAAGCAGGTGAGAGATTGCTTCCAGACTCACTAACAACTTCCTACACAATCTCTCATCCAAAAATGCTACAAAGGTAACAGGTTTTTAGGATTATTGATTTCACCTTCTTAATGAAAATAAATGGGATACTCAGATTTATTTCTCAGAGTGCCTGGAAAGCCTCACTGCAAGGGAAGGCTCTTGTGTGGTATCAGTGTCTGAAAACTCAAAAGCTGTCAGGAAACTGCAATGGGATTCAGCCAGTGAGAACCCAGAATGCAACTCCAAAATCTGGTCTGGATCTAACTGGGGGAAAAGCATCACAGAAGATGTCAGGCTTGATAGACTTTTGCCTGTTCCATAAACTGGGGCGTTTGCTGAAAATACAATTAATGCAAGAAGGGGCATAGGCAGGGGATCAATAAGAACACAGAAAGCTGGTCTGCTATATTACAAGATGCCTGCAACTGTAGATTTACAAGGGACTTTTTGTAAATTTCTAGTCCTCACCTTGTACTGCTAAAGTATCAAGCATGATTTTCTTCTCCCTGACAGATGAAATTTTTTTGCAGTCTGTGCAGAGCATCATTCTCCAGTTAAGATTGACCTGCAAACACAGGCTGTAATAATTAGTACCTGCCTTTTAGGTATGGTGCTCCTGTTGCAGTAGACCTGAATAAGATTTGACCGTCTTTTTCCAGCACTGTCACCATGTTAGTTCTTGCTGAGATTAATTCCTCAGCACC